AGGCGCTGCCTCTGCCTGCGCCCAGCGAGCCCCCCTTCCTGCTGTACACCGAGCAGCTGGCTCGGAAGGAGGTGGAGGTCCTGGCCCTGAAGAAGCAGAAGCACCAGCTGGAGACGGAGGTTCGCAGGTTCCAGGAGAAGCTGCTGGAAGAAGAAGAGAAGCACAAGGAGGAGGTGTCTCTTCTCCAGAGCCACATTCAGAAGACCTTCCGGGACCAGAGCAGGGAGGGAGCTAACCTGGAGTACCTCAAGAACATTTTCTACAGGTTTCTGACCTTGACAGACTTGCTGGGACGCCAGCAAACCCTGACAGCCATATTGACTATTTTGCATTTCAGCCCAGAAGAGAGACAGGCCGTTCTGAGCCATGCGGGTGGAGGCAGCGGCTGGTGGCTTTCGGGGAAGAGATGAAGCTCCGCCCCGCTTTCTGGGGGGGATGGCGGGCTAGGTCCAGAGCGAGGCTGGGTGCTCGCCCTGTCTCCAGACGAAGCAGTACCTGTTCCTTGCCATTTGGTGGGGAGACCACAGGACCAGCCAGGGCTCCCATTTCAGACTCCATGCCGTGTGAAGGGCCTCCCTGGGGCTGGGTTCTCTGCTGCAGGGATTCAGTTTGGGGTCTTCATTCCTTTTAAAAGGTTCCGTTCAGGGCTCTGGTCAATGTTTATTCCAGTATTTTTATCTTTTTTTTTTTTTGCCAAATATGGACTGGGGAAATCCTGTGGACTCCCAAGCCAGCAGTCGAGCTTGAGGCTAGCAAATAAAGCATCAGCAATCGAAGCCTATCCTGTGAGTGTTTGGGGTGGAGGGCAGTGCTCAGCCTTTAGTCAGAGATGTGTCCTTTGATGACTGCTGTGCAGCAGGATGGGGGTGACAGCGAGGCACAGAGGCTTCTCTGAAGCTCTACTGCTGAGGCAGCTGCTCCTGGGGGTTGGGTGGGCCTCTCCAGCCACTCTAGTCCAAAAGGGCCAAATTGCAGAGGCACCCAGATTTTCTGTTCCCAATTTGGGTGCTCCCTGCATGCTTTCTCCCAGTCAAGGATTAGAAGGTAGGCAGGGGGCCCTGGTTCGCCCCCTCTCCATTTCTTTGTTTATATCAAAGTATACAGCCTGCCATCTCACCAGTGTGACTCTGGGCGGCTAAGGAGTAGGGGACGGGGCAGGGATCTTTCTTGACTCCTTTCACAGCTCAGAAAAGACAGCAGCCTGGTTTGTGTGACCTTTCTTCTTCCTTCCAGGGTGATCAGGCAGTTTCAATTTGCCTGCTGTGCCTAATATGCATTTCAGCATCATGTACGGAAGGATTGATGGAGTGTTGCTCTTCTCCCCGCAGCAATTTTTGGTATGGCATGTCACGGGAACTCAGCCGTTGTCTTAGTTTCTTGTGAGTTTAAGCCATTATGCTAAAACGTGCAATTTCTTGATGCAGGGTTTATGTAAATACAGTTATATTTTGTCCAGATGGGGTTAGGATTACATGCGTTGTCTGCTTGGGTGTTTGGACATGGAACAGTTTTCTGAAAAAAGATTGTTGAGTGCACGTTAGAGCAGCTGTGAGGTCAGAAGAACAGGCACTCTCTGGTCCATGGGAATCTTGACCAAGAACAGAATGGCTCATGTTGTGGGCCAGACTTTCTCTGTCACTGACTCCCTAAGAAGCACCTTCACTGGGGTGCATCACCAGTTGCTCACATCCTGGATAAACGTTTACCGTTCTACCCCTGCAAGAAGCTGCTGTGATCTGCCCCCTCCCTTTCAAAGGCACCTGGAATATAGCTATCCTGGTCAGTTCTGAAGGTGCCGCAAGAACAGCTTCTTAGTCCTTGCCTGGCGATGCTTGTCCACTCCTGTGGCAGCAGACAACTGCAAATGGAGAACTGTCCCAACTCAATGGTGGTGGCCAATCGGTTTCCCAGCCTGCTTTGCGTGCCTGTACAATTACTGTTTTCCCCCCGCTTTCTGGCACCTGGTGCAAAAGGCTTAGCCATCTGTACTTCCTTCTGCCTCCATCCCTGTGCGTTTCTGGGGCGGGTGTGGGGTGGAGTGCCTGGGGCAGCTGCAGTTTGGTTGGTCTGCAGTTTCTGTCATCTTGGTCTCCCAGCTACCACCAGAATATGGCAGGGTTTCTGGGTTGGTGAATGGGATCTTTTCATTTTTTCCACCCCAGTGGTTTTGGAAAGAAATTACACAAAGAGGTTTGGGACTCTCTCTATCCAGCTAGCCAAAAGCAGAATGGAATGGGAGTAAACCTGTGTTGGGGGAGAAGAAAGAAGATCGAGTTGGAAAACCAGCTGGGTGCTGTGGAAGGAAAAATCAAGAGTCCCCCAGAGGCCGGGAAAATCACTGACTCCTCTACCCTAAACTTCCCTCCCAGTCATGGAGCTATTGGGAATGGGAAAGCATTCCAGAAATGCAGCTCTGCCTTTCAGTTCTTTCCAGCCTCGAGCCAGAGATTCCTGGCATGAAATCCCCAAGGCAGCATCCCCACGGGAGGCTTATGCTTGGCTGTGCTCCGTTCTTATCCCCCCTCCCTCACCCGGCGTGGGGCTGCTGTTGAGGGGCTGGGAGGAATGTTTACTGCTGCTATTTGTACATTTATATTGTGCCGCTCTGCTGATGTGACCGTTTGAGGTAGCTTGCAACAAGCAGCATGGTGGTTTAGAAGCGGAGAGGAGTTGCTTAAGAAGCCACCTCCTGGATTAGGCTCACTCTGACCCTAAACTGGCAGGCTTGACTCCACAGATCTCCAGCCCCATAGCCTGCAGCTCCCCTTTTCATTGGCTCAGTTCGCGTGAGGTATGTTTCTTGGCTGCCTAAGCCATGGTTGAATCACTGGTTTCTAGGTTTGCTTAATGCTGGCCACATCTGCTGAATTCACATGATACATTGGACTGTTGGAGATGCCTGGCTGTGAGTGTGCAGCCTGTGGCCAGAGACGCCGTGCAAACCTAACCTGTAGGTGAATTTAAGAACCAGCACATTGTGACGGGTTGGCAGGCGCGCATTCTTGCAGCTGGCGGAGGCTGTGTGTGCTGAGCTGCAGTGCTCACTGGCCAAATGCGGGCACTGCTTCACTCTCCCTTTCCTCCTGGTCACGTGGTTTTCATTGGGTGGCCTGGATCCAGAGGACAAGATCCTGGACCCCGATGAGTAATTTGCTGGGCGAGTGTTCCTTCGGGGGGCTAACCCCTGCTGGGGCTGTGCAGAGAGCGGCGAAGCC